GGCAAGAAGAGTTCAAGTAAGTCTTACTACTCCAAGTATTGTGTTGGAGTGATGGAATGGCCCTGAACCCTGAAAAAACTGGAAAGCTGCTGGAGTTGAGTTTGTTGCAGTAAATAAACAGATAGATTTGCATACCGGTAGATGCAACAGCTGATGCAACGCTCCTTCGAGCCTTCGAGCCTTCGAGAGCGCCCTTCACTCATGCTCTTTGCACTTTTGCACGCCACTCGCGTCCAGATTGATCCCAAGACTTGGTGGTGCTCTTCTTCAAGTAAGCATCAATCGTAGAATGCGCAAGGCAAAGATTACAAGGAACCAAGGCGAAAACGTGAGACTTGCACACTGGTGCCGCATTTCCATTCATCACCATTCATTCACCGCAAAGCTCAAATCGCTTAATAGACTACGACTTAGTAGAGTACTAGCTAGTAGTGTCTTGGGCGCGTGGTGAGTCCAAACCGGTTGCTTACGGTACAGTGTACAGTGTCCTCTGGCTGCGTTGTTCCAAAGCATGAAGTGCACAAGCAGTTTTCACATGCCATACTCTTACTATGGGCGGGGGATGTTGTTCCCTTGATCGTAGCTTTCTCCCCAACACAAGCCAGTAAAGTAGTACGACTGTAGTAGTACCCGGGTACATGTATTAATAGTAGCTACCGTACATGTACATGTAGTTGTTGGCTTGCTTACTTGTCCTCTCCACCACTGTAGAAGAGAGCACCTACCTAGCTAGAGCCGGGGGGGGTTGGCGCCGGTGGCGAGCGCATTTCCAGCTGGGTATATCCTTCCACAGCGTCCGACCGGGCTACTAGTTTGGCTAGCTAGCTTCTTTGCTTCCTCTGGAGTTGCTTGCCGCTATAGTAGTACATGCTCCGTATCGTATCGCACTCGGTATGTCAGGGAAGCAGAAGCTAGCTAGCTAGCTAGCTAGTGAAGGACAAACCAGTATGAAACGGATGTAGAATTTAGGTCTTCCTTGCCGGGCTGCGTTGGGTCGAGCCTTTGGTAGCTCGACGTCAGGCTTCGTCTCCGGCTGTGAGGGGCTTCAGCAATGGATCAATAGCTCTCTGTGCGGCTAATCATCTATCAAATGCTGATATTTGAGGTACTAATAAGAAGAGGTTTTTTGTTTTGTATTGTATTTGTACTCTATAGTAGTCTATTTGTTTATGCAGTGTATTCTATTGTGCGCGGAAGCAGGAGCGGGAAGACAGCATGTATTGTATTTTGGAAGCGAGGAGCTGGAAGACCGTATTGTATTGTATTGTGATGTGTTGTTGCTTATTGGCAAAGACGAGCGGCCAATTGCAAAGCGCGGTCGCGTGATTGCTCGGAGTATCCAGTGGCGACCGCACGAATGGCCTCGGGGTCGTAAATGCCCATGGCGCGTTGTGCGGCTTGTTGTTGGAGGACAGCTCGGACGCGTTGTTCCTTCATGGCCTTGGTTTGGTTGCGGGTGGCAGGAGCGCAGCAGTATCGCTCGACACCGACGGAGCAGAATTCAGTGTGGTCCATGTCGCGGAGGCGGTTTTCCTTGCAGAGCTTGGCCAAGTAGACGACATCGCGCTTGACGTTAGCCTTGAAGCTTTGTGCCTCGGCATCGTTGTACCAGTTGTCGCTGTTGGAAGTGGAGACAGTGGGAACGACAGTGACAGTGGCGGTGAAGCCACAGCCTTGGTGATGGAGACGCGGCGCCTCTTGGTTTCGGGGATTCGTTCCGAGGCTGTGCGCTGCAATTCACTGCGAGAGCGCTTGCGGCTGATCTTTTGGTCGTCGCAGGAGACAACGAGTGTGGGTTCGGTGTTTGCTAGTGTGGTGTACATGATCATTATTGTTGTGGTTGTGAGAAAAGTAGCGGAGTTGTTGTTGTGAGTGGATTGTCCAAGTTTGGAATTGTGAGTTTGAATCGTCCCAGCCAAGCAAGCGCCACAAGAGAGTTGCCAACCCAAAACCAAGATTGGGCAGTGGAGCGGTGAAGAAGCCTTCCTGTGGGGAACCAGCAAAGCAACAGGCAACTCACTTGGATCACAGCAATCTACGGTACTGCTGAGTGAGCTGGTTCTTTCACCTGCTACTAGTCTAGCTAGTAGTACAGTGTACACAATCCCAGCACAGTCGGGTGCTGGTGGCTGGTGGTACCGCAATTTCAGTAGAGGCTCAATTCGCAATAATGCACGGCACTGGAGAGTACACTGTGCAGCCAGAGTACTTCAAACTAAGACTTGGTACAAAAGAAGTACTGTACTCTGTACTCCTGGCTACCGGTAGTACTACTATTAATAGTGAATAAACCGCAGTTCCCCAGCACAAGTGTCAAGGAAGCCTTGAAGGACATTGCACTAAATAAGCACTTAAAAATAAATGCCCGCTTTGGGTTAGGTGCCTGTAAAAATGTTCCAATCCCACATGCCGCATGGCGCCCTACGGCGCGAGGAACATGGAAGCCTCATCTTCAACTTCAGCTTGTCGTGGTGGTAAAAATGATTTAATGAAACCATGTGACTTGCCAAATCAAGAGTCATTCTTCGCATTTGGGTTGTACAAGCCATCCGAATGTCCAAGAAGTCTCTTTTTGGGACTCCCACATTGGAGTCAGGTAGGCAGGGTAAAATATGGTTCCTTTGGGATTTTTTCATGCAAATATTCATCCTTAACCCTATTTTTACCCTAACTACTCATACTGCTGTCTTCCGTCGCATTCGTGCAGGCACTTCGTTGATTCGTGCTGGACCCAAAGAAGTCTGGATCAGGCACTGGATCACCGGATCTTGCCAGGTTCGATCCAACGCGATCGCAGCGGTGAAAAGAAAGAGCCATTGAAGTCGTTCCACCGGTAAGTACATGCATGTCATACAGCTGTCGTGCGGAGCTCACACTAGCTAGCAGCTAGCAAACAAATAAGCCCCGACGCCGGTTCGGTGAGGTTTTGGCCTTTTCCTTCTTTCTTGCCGTGCCTTGAGAGAGCTCATCATGACGTTGTGACCTGCCGTGAGCTTCGAAACAATATCGGGAGCGGGAGTGATACAGGAGCCAACCGTTCTGAGTGGCTCCCATGGCACTCCCTCTCGGAGACTTGCTACTAGCTAGCTAGCTAGCTAGCTAGCTACTAGTAGTGGTAGCTCTACCGTAGCTACATGTACCGGTACCAGCGGGGCGTCGGTGAATTCTGGTTGTTTCGTGCGTGGCAAAGAGCTCTTTGGCCTGGGAAGACTGGAGTCAAGTCTTTTCAAGTAAGTTAGTAGAGAGTGACTCTGGCTGCCACTAAGAAAGATACTGCCACGGTCTTTTGGGGTTGTGTTGATAAGTTATATCCGTACCAGATACAGCTGTGGTGTTGCGTGCGAACTCTACATGCCTCCAGAGAAATAAAAGCCCCTCCACCTCTGCCTCGTGGGAGGATGGAAGGCAGGGGTACAGTTTGAGTGTAAAGGCTCCGGCTGCTGCTTTCGACTTTTGACCAAGCTTCTGTGAATGGTTTACACTCCAAACTCACACAATATAAGAAATCTCTAAATTCAGTGCAGCCCTGGGCCTTTCTTACCATACTGCACCATTTTGGACCCTCAGATTGTTTCTGACAAAACAAGCCAATTTCAGCATAGAAGACTTTCTTACTATGCTTATAGGTCAAGCAGGGCAGTACTTGGATACACCCAGTGCACCTGGGATGTGGGCCTTTTGGTCCAACTTGCTCAGGACTCGTAAATTGGGTTGGATCGATAGAGATGGTGATCACTGTTTCTGCCGTGAGGCAGAAAATTTTGCAGATTTAGGCCCAAGTTTGAAGCATTTTCATGGTGTCAGACTAGTAGAATTTCTTCCAATTTGAGGTCTCAACACTGGGAAGCTTTCTTACAAGTCTGGCTGTAGTTTTTTCACTAGTCCCTGATCGATTTCACTAGTCTTTACTAGTCTCCACGTGGAACACCCACCAAACCGTGGAAATCCAATGACAGTTAAACGCACTGCGACTAACAAGATCCAACAAGATCCTACCAGTACCAACGACAACTTGTCCACTCGACAGCATCAACTCGAAAAGCAACCCACAATCTACTCCGCAGCGCAAATGCGGACAGTCCTCATTTACTACTTAGTTTTAAGAAACCAGGCAACCTAACATTAGCTAGTAACATGAAGATCAGCAAGCATTTACACCTTGACATTAAGCCAAATTGTAACATGTATACCCTAACATTTAGAAAGATTTGGTGCAAAAATGAGCACTGCTAGTAAACACCCAATATGACACTAACAACTACACTATCTCAACAAAGTAAGACATTGTCATTCAAAACAACATCAGTGCTGACAAATAACATTCAACAACTAGGTCAATTGGTTGGATATTGACTGAGATCTGGTAACCAGAAGTTGGTTGCTTTTGGATCACAAAGTCATCCTCCAGTCATGCTTCCAGGAACATTCAGGTTGGAATTCCTATTTGGTTCCAAAGCGTTCCAGAGGTTTTCCTCATTTTTGCATCTGTCCGCATTTTTGCCGCGGAGTAGCAATCAGCCCGAATCCATCCAAAAGTAGACAGCAACCTACACCATGTCGATTACCTTCACAGCCGCCCGTGATGATCTCCTAGCTTCGTCCGCTGACAAACAGAAGAATGCACTTGCCCATTTCAATTTCTTTCTCAAGATGTACTGCGTCCAGATTGGAATCAATGTCATTGAAGCCGATGCAATCCCCTACCATGGCATCCCTCGCAAGTCATCCAAGAAAGTAATATCCAAGTTTTGGGACAAGGCGATCGGTGCCTTCTTCTTCTACATGGGCACCTCAGCTATGTGCCACATCAATCCAAAAAGAACGCGTCTCACTTATCAAACTACGTACGACTTCCTCTATCCGTGATCATCTCTTTGTCTGTCGTGTTGAACAAGCATTGGAAAAGGTGGGAGCGCCAAGGTTGTTTGGTGAATGGACATGCGAAGCACGCCATGCATTCTTATCTCGCAATATATCAGGCATCTCAATTGACAAATTTCTCTTATACGGTAGAGAGAATGGAAACGATATTCGCATGGATCCCCGCTGCTTTGTCGACCACTTCAATGCTCTTGCCTCGGTAACACAATCCATCCACATGGAAGTCAAAGAACTCCGGCACATGATGCACGATATACGCAAGAGACAAGAGGGATGGGATGACACCTACAACCACTACGTCGTTGGCAAAATCTACAACATGGACAACATGATACAACGAATTCAGAACTACCTGATCCCTAAAAAACCAGCACTGCCACACCTTCTTCAAATGCATGGTGTCATCAAGTTCTCAATCAGCAGCAAAGGTCTCACCAATCAAATGCCCCTAGCAGATATAACTACCGCATTCTTCGCCGACAATTACATCACTGGTTACAAATTGGACAAGCAAAGCTCCTCTTGGAATGTGAATCCAACTGAAACGAAGCGCCTAAAAACCTTTTCGCATCCATCAAACGTGCAGTCAGAATGGTCCTAATGCATGCTGACTCCTATCCCTTGCTTCCGGAGGACTCATCACAGTATAAGGAAGTGATTCGCAGGGTTGCAACAACAGCAGAAGAGTACATCCGAAACGACTTTGGCTTTGGCAATAAGACCATCACCATCTATAAAGTCACGAGCCACCCTGACGTGTATTAAAGCCAAAGAGCGATCCCTGAAACTACCAGTCTACACTCTAGAAGATGTCTGCAGGTTCTTCAGAAGCGATTAGCATTACTAGCTCACCTATCTAGCCTCGTCTTGCCGTAGCTAGCGATCCTCCGTATCGTCTCCAGTGCTGCATCCGATAATCAACCAGCCTTAATAGTAATTAAAATAGAAACATAGGCGCCATCATTTCCCGCCAAATAAACTCCCTCTAGGCACCCCATTTTATTGGTTCTCCACGGACTGGTTCTGTTGCTGAGCCTCCCACTTCATTTGTCGCTACATTCTTATTGTGTTCACCGTGGTTTCCTGCCACGTTCACACACGCTCATCTGCAACAATCAAATTATTCAATTATTTTTCAATAAATCTGCAAGGTTAAAATTTACACGCTGAATCTTTCTCGAATCTTCAGTCCGGGTTGAATCTCGGACGAGTTCATCTTCAAGAAAAGTTTTAAAGGATAGTTCCGGTAAAGAATTAACATAACCATAAAGAATACGCAAACATTTTAGGTATCCGAATCTAATCGAATCTCCCACTCAATTATAATCGCCACCGGCCGATTCATATTGGACGACCCTGGCATGGAGAGTATGAAAGTCCACCCCAACAATAAGGAATAACATTGGAGAGTATTGCCCAGTCAAGGAATGGACTCTCGGAGAAGCGCTTTCGATGCTTTCGAATTTTAAGAGAAGACAGTAGCAAAAACGAAGTGGGAGACAATGGTGTTGGCTTCGGTTGCAAGGTAATCAAATAACCTCTACAATATACTGGACCTCTGTGGAAACTCGAGTCATGCTACTTTTCGTCTCCTAAATCCTTTTGATCGTCTCCTATTTAATGGATTTCGTCTCCTAAAAATAGGAGACGAAACGGATCGTCTCCTAAATCTTTTGTCTCCTCTTAAAACGTCTCCTATTTTCAACGGATTGTCTCCTATTCTCAACGGATCGTCTCCTAAGTGTACCATGTAAACTGTATGGTATCGTCTCCTAAATCTTTCGGATCATCTCCTATTTCGAAATTTTCGTCTCCTAATTGGAATGTCTCCTACTGAATCGTCTCGTAAATATAGGAGACGATTGCTTTCGTCTCTTAAATCATTTCGATCGTCTCCTATTCCTCGGTGTATCGTCTCTTAAGTATTTTGCCACGAATGACGTTTCCACAGAGGTCCTGTAGCATGTGGTTAACAATCAACTACAAGCCGGCATAGCTAGATAGATAGAGACCATACCGCACATAATATAGAGGGGGACCGAGGTGACAAAAACCATTATTATGCCACCTCGGTCCCCGTCCCCCCTACTGTTTTCCTATTGTAAAGTGCTTGCGGGGACCACCGTTAATTTAAGATTCCCCCTTCCCACCAGCCTCGCGGCGAATGAGCGTCCCAACCCAGGGAACATGGGACGTGTGTGATTATACAGGGTTCGCTAACCAATCAATATTTTGTGGTTATTGGATATTGATTATTGGTTGATCAACCAATAAATGAAAGGTACCGGTTATTGGTTATTGGTTGATCAACCAATAAATCTAGGGTACTGGTTACTGGTTATTGATTGATCAACCATTGGTTATTGGTTATTTTACTATTGGTTATTAACCAGTAACCACAAAAAGTAACCATTAGGATTTCCGGCCACTATTCTAAGCGTCATCATGATAAAAGTCTAGTTCCTCCTTTGTCTCAGTTGTGATAACTCTTCTCCGTCCATTTTGTACACCATGTACTGCTTGGGGAGCATCCTAGTTCGGTTCTTAGCCGCTTGCTGCCTATCGTCACTCACATTTACCTTGTGATTCCAAAGGAAGTCACCATTTTGTAAGTTAGAATCTTCATTTGAAATGTAAATTTGCGAGTCAACCATAAAAGTAACCACAAAAGAAGCTATTCGCGTAACCAAAAGTAACCAGTTAAATCAACCAAAAACGAGTTAAATCAATGTGCCAAATCAACCAATAACCAGTCGAATCAATCAGTCAAAAATGTACCGGTCAACCAATAACCAATGAATTGATTGGTTATCGGTTTTGGTTGATTTGACTGGTTATTAACCGATTAACCGGTAACCAAAACTAATAACCAAATTTACCGGTTAGCGAACCCTGGTGTGACACAAAGCTGCTCCTTTTCTTTCCAATTATAATTTTTTTGGATTAGTTAATAACACATACGATTTTAGCAAAAGTGACTGAACCTTCATTTCCTGTACCGGTACCTTGTACATCCGTTTTACTAGTCTTTTGCCGAATTCACTAACTACCGATAGCTACTCGAGTAGCTAGTATTTTTTAATAGCAACCGGTGTGTAGTCCCGACGTTGAACGCCAAACGAGGATTCAACGGCAGTTTTAAATTCGGGACTGAACAATTTCGGAGGTACTGTACTGTACAGCCGTATCATGCACCACAACAAGTCACAGGAACAAAGCAGCAACAACAAAATATAAAAAGACATGGATTTTCATGGGAGCAACAAAAAAGGAGCAACAGGAGCGTCCTACGAGTATTGAGTGCAGCAAAAGCAAGTCCACCAGGGCAGCCGCAGCAGCTATCCAAACCACGCTAGCCCTTCCCTTTGCTCTGTCTGGGTGTGTTGAACTTAGCAAAATCGACCCATCCGCCGCCGCTGCTGCAAACAACAGCAACACTCCTCTATCCATGACTACTCCATGTGTTTGGGTACAGCTCTGTTGGGAGGATAAGGACAAGGAAACGGAGGAGCCAGCGGGCGACGACCTCATAAAAATTAGACCAGTACCTGATGATGTTGCCGACTTGAAAGCGGCAGTGCTGGCGAGACTTGACTCTGCGTTGCTGGGTGAAGTCAAGGTGTACCCACCTAAATCCTGTGCTAGCCGGGAGAAATACCAAGCAGGCAAGGAGTTGTCAGCGGTGATGGCCGAATTGAGCGGTACAACTCCCCCAACATCCTCTGATTATCCCTTGGTTGTGGTGGCACCCACTCAGACGGTAAAGAAAGCAAGAATGTGCTTCTCGTTCGATGAGTCTCTTCCAAAGCCGTGCGACGTTGTACCACTCAAGTCGACAAAGCCCGAGTTCGTGGCTCCGGACGGTTGGCTAGACGGTGTCGGAATTGAGATTGTCGCTCAAATGCAGCGGTCGGACGATCACGTAGGTTCAAATACTGAAGAATACTCCGATGAAACAGATCATGATGGTGACCAAACCCTAGAACGGGTAGCTCCGATGGCAGTCGTTCGTTGTTCTCGTGGGGGGAAATCAGGGCTCTCTATGAGATTGCCAACAAGATACGAGGATACAAATTGGATGGTCAAGCAAATATTGCCGTCTTGTACATTTCGCTTAATGATTACTCTTCGCTTTAACCATGGGAGCAGGAAGCCCTGCTGCGGCGGATTGCCTTTATGGCCTCACACAACGACGGAAGAAAGAGAAACACTGGTACATTCGATGATTTCTCCAACAAGAAGGAACACATAGATCAGGAAGATTTTCTGCAATGGTTGGGAGACGAAGATTCAACGCCTTGTGTTCTGATTGTCGACAAATTAAACAACCTCAACCAGCTATAGGAAGAGAATTCGCCAGCAGCTGCTGAGTTTGCAAGATTCGTCAAGCGGCATTTTATTGCAATACGGAACCGGTATTTTGTCTTTTCTTCGCACCAAGTGTCAACGCTTGAGTTCTTCATCGATCCAAGCCAGGGTAGTGTGCGACCCGTTGTATTGCAAGAACTTCCGATTACCGATACTTTGACCAAGGCGCTAAACATCTAAGAAGCGCATTTTTAGGTAGTGCTAGAATCGACATGCGTGCAGGTACCAAACGCCAACCAGCACGATCCCGATCCGTGACGTAATTGCTTCCAAGAATGCGTGCAGTGATTGGAATCGGGATTGTGTGTTCCACATGGGCATGCAACGAAGGCCTGCCCGGCAAGACTGCCTGCTTCACGATTTGGGATCCACTTTTTGGACCGTCTTTTCGGGAAGGCAAACCCTCTCTTTGGTACCATAAACTACATCCCGATTGGTAAGCGGGCGGTTCCCCA